CCCCACCCCCGCTGCTCAGACCCCGCCGTTGACGAAGGGGTGCCTCAGCAGGTCCTCGGCCGTCGGCCTCCGCTTCTCCTCCACGAAGATCTGCTTGAGGAAGTTGCGGCAGGAGTTGGAGACGCCGTCGGGGAGCTGGGGGTTGGTCGGCTGGGTGGCGATTTTAAAAATAGCCGCCATGGCTTCGATCTTCTCCGTTAACATCTCCACCACGGTGCAGGCCACGCTCCTGCAACGCCAAGCAAGGGGTGAGACGGCGGGTAAGGGACGCGGGGGCAGTGTGCATTCGAAGTCTGATCGGCTCTAGGATTACGTCTGCCTGGAACGGACTGTGCGGGGAGCAAACCCGCAGGAGAGATGGGCACACGTGGCGCCCTGAAGCTCACTGGCTCTGGACCTCCCGCTCCCACTAGCAGGGGGGAACTCGCAAGCCTTGCCCTGAAGCTGGCGGCTTTCCTGCCTACGTTAACTGGCAGATATTAGGCTTCATAAAAGCGTGTGGGAGACCTTATCGGAGCATCCCCCGAAGGGAAACCCAGGCACGAGTTTAGACACCGCAGTTTCAGCAATAGCATGTAGTTCCCCAGGAAGCTGAGCCAGAATGAAACTTGTTTGTTACACCTAACTTCATCTCCGATGTGCATCTGAGAAGGAGCACGACAAGAGGAGCAGCAAAGAGTCCCAAAGGTTTCCCTGTGCTTGCTAAGGAGCCTCATCTCAGCAGGGACCCTTTCTGCCACCTCCATTCACAGTTGCTCATAAGAGACTGAACGACATTTCCCTCCCATCAGCCAGAGCAGGCGGTGCAGGGTACACGGCTGCCCGCTAAGGACCCCCTAGGCTTCCCCCTCCAAGCAGGGCTCTGTTGGAGGGACTACTTTTGGCCCTGCTTGCTTGGGCACCCAACAGAAAGTACCCTGTGAGGACAGTGCTTCCTCCTCATTTATTGGGAGGATTAGTGGTGTTATCTCAACTCTTTCAGGCTCCAGCTGACGTCCTCCACAGATCAAAGCACTCACAAGCAGCCAACGATTTCGGCTGCCTTTGTGTCTGTGCCACACGCAAACATCCAGCAGCAGGTTTTGAGAGGCCGCACGAGATCCCCCTGGGCCCGCTGAGCTGGGGTTAGCTACCCCAAAATCAGCCTCAACTGCTCTTTTAGCAAACTTTGTTATCAGCCTGCTTTCCAAAATTAAAGAGCAGCTACAGGGTCGAGCTGCACATGACCCTCACACATAAGAGCTTCCAAAAGCAAACCGTGATTCTGAGTGCTCCTGTTTTGGGACTTTCAGCTACAAGGTGCTCCCTCTGGATATCTCCATAGTTGAACCTAACATTCAGCTCCGATTTCCTTCCCTTGCACTGCTCCATCTTCCAACTACTAGCTATACCTGTTGCTCCCATGACAACTTCCCAAAGGGATGGTCTGATTTAAGCTGCAATGATAGGTGTTCTACTGTATTCCTTACCACACATCAGCTTTCCTTCCGTAGCCCTCTCCACTGATAACCTCTGGGCTCATCCAGTATGGTGTTCCCGTGACAGATTTAATCCCAGTTCCAGACATGCAGATGGTCTGGATGCGTTTGCTGGCCCCAAAATCTCCAAGTTTCACATTTCCAGCGGAATCTCTCAAAATATTGGCACCTGGGGTGAAAAGCAAAACCAAAAAACGCAAGAGATGAAGCAGCAACCTGAATTGAAGTGGCTACAGGGAGGAGAGCAGGAAGGGCACGGGCAAAGATCGGGACATGAGGGAGCCCAAAGGGCCTTGGACTCAGCATTGCATAAAATCCCCCTCTCCTAAGGCAGCTGCTCTCCGAGGGGGTTGACTCCTGCCAGCATCTCCTCAGGCAGCAGGTTTCCCAAAAGTGAGCTGTGAACGGGAGACAACAGATCACCCTCCCCACCCACAGAGAGCAGAACAGAGCCTCAGGTCTCTCTGAATGCCCAGACCTCTCAATTCTTGGGTAGGTTACACCAGGTTTTGATGAGTAAGGGCAGTTAACAATAATCCCTCTCAGGAGTACTTGATCTGGGTTTCCCAAGGAAGACGACAGCGCAAGGTTCTGGTTTCAGCTGCTTGTTGAAGCTTCTCATGGTTCAAGTTGGTGAAGGCCAGGGGCAAAAATACTTTAAATACCAGATCCCAGCACTATGTTTTGCACAAGAATTTATACTGGGGCAGGGGGGAGGTGGGGTTGAACAAGTCCAAGCAGGCAAGAAGTCTGTATGTATTATCTACTCACCTTTAATGTCCCTGTGGACAATCATATTGCTGTGTAAGTAGAAGACTCCCTGCAGGATCTGCCTGGTGTACTTCCGTGTGACGTTCTCGGTCAGAGCACCGTAAGCCTTCAGCTGGTCCTTTATTGAGCCCTGTTGCACAGAAACAACAAGCGCCAACCATAAGGACCAGCAGAACCATCACGTCACAGTAACTTTTTTAAACTTTCCTGACCTCTCTGCCTTCCAGCTCAAAAACACCCCACTCTGCTGTAGAAACAGCAAGATAAAAAAAACGCAGTAAGTGCTGAGCAGCGCAAAGACTTGTCCTCAATGTCCCAGATCCCAGTGGAGAAAAAGGTATGGTCCTGGTGCCTGTCAGTGCTATCTTCTGCCAACACTACAGATCTTTTTCCCCCTCTAGTGGCTGGACATCACCAATAGCTCATGGAGAAGGACCAAACCTATGAGAAGTTGGAACTCAAGTGAGAAGATCAAGTCAACTAGCTCTTCAGGGCCAAGCTGATGAGTCAGTCTTCTATGAAGCTTCCCCCTCCAACTTCTCACAGCAGGGAGTACCCACTGCCGTGCAGCAGACAGACTCATGAGGGACATGACCAGCCCCACATGGGACTGCTTCAGCAAGACCACCTAGGGTAGACAATTTGCAAGTACTTGAATTTCTGACCCAGGCATGCAGGCTCCTACTGATTTGATTTTATTGATCAGAGAGGAAAAGAAGCAGGGGTGCAGCCATCTACCATCTGCAAGAGGTTGACTCCCTTGGTTTTAGCTATATTTTCTGTCCACTTGGAAAGGGACGTCCCTCACTATGCCGGAGATGGGTTTGAGCAGGGATGAACCGGAGACAGATTCGGGGTTCAATCAGAGAGGTCGCACCCAGCTCTACCTCCAGTATTCAGGTTAGCTGGAAAGCAGGAGGGGAAACTCCTGCAGCTCTGGGGTTGATCCAAGATTGCCATAGCCCTTCTGTGCCGGGAACAGTGGGCTGCTCTGCTCCAAGTCAGCCACTCAAACCGTAGCAGCTTTTCCACATCCACCCACCTCTGCTGCTGCTCTGCCCAGCTACTGTTTTGGCCCTCTTTTGAGGCTGGTGGCGATCCTGTGGATGGAGCTCTCCTTTCCCTTGCACAGTGCTGCTGAAGTAATCAGAGATGCTCTGAAATTACCCCCTTGTACAACTTGTGTGCAGGGTGTGTTCCCTCACCCGCAGCTGAACAAGCTTTCTTCTCCTGGCCTCCCCCACCCTGATGGGGGGGGACATCAAACAAGAAGGGGAAACAGGGTCTTCAAGGCCTGTGGTCAAATGGATCATTCTGTTTTCCAAGCATAAATCATAAAAATAGTTTATGGGCAGGGCAGGACAAAGAATACAAAGTCAGATACCTAATGGGGGCAATCATAAGAACGTCAGGCTAATGGTGCACCCAAGCTTGGACCCATGAAGATTTCGCCAGACTGGCTGTGCTAAATCAGAAGCCTGGCCAGACCCAGCGCTGCCGAGTCACTGTCCTGCAAGATTTGGGAACTCATTCACTTCCCCTGGCCTTGGAAACCAAAGCCCTGGGCTGCTTTTGTGAAATGAGGTGTTGTTGCAGCACGGAAGCCAACTTGGTTAGAGCTTTGGTTTATCATTAAAAAAAAAACCCAAACATTCAACTTCCAGCCCTGCTGGACACTGCCCCAGCATCAAATGTTGGCTTCCTGGCTGCCACCAAACACCAGCACGCTGCAGAATATGCAGCGAGGAGACTGCTGAAACTCCCAGGGTAGACTCCTCTGGGTGCACGCCTCGTGGTAAGGCCTGAAAGCGAGATGCCTGCCCACAGGGAGAGGGGGAGGACAGGGCTGGGAAGGGACTCAAATGCGCGGAAGCCCACCTGATTACTCCCGTGCAAGATGCACTAGGAGAGCTTCCAGCACGTTTACTAACGACCAAAATTATTTGCGACCAGATGACTTAATAGTCCCTTCTGACCTTACAAAAAACCTCTGTTTAAACGTGGGTTTATTCTCCCACACCCTGGGGAATGAATCCAGCTGGACAGGCAGGACTTCGGAGAACAGGTCCTCTGGCAATGTAAATAGCATTGTGCTGGTTTATACCAACCGATGACTTTGTCTACGTGGCTGATGTAATTCACGGGCTCACAGAGAAAGAGATGTTCATCTGCATATGTTCTCCTGTCCCTGCTTAGATGCTCTCAAAAGCTTTCTGATCTTCTTTTTCCCTAGGGCTATTTCATCTTATATCAGCAAAGTCACAAATTGAAGCCACTCCTGCACGGAGTATAATGCTACCAACAAAAAGTTCTGTCCTGGACAGGAGAAGACTTACAAGTGAGTAACACTGTTTTGAATACACACGTGCTGAAAGCCATAAATAACTGGTGACAGCTGTGGGTGGACAGTTGTACCATTAGCTTTTCCTGCAGGGATTTGCAATAAATACTTAAGGATGGGCTCAGGCCACAGTGTTTGGAGCCAGATCTGGATCATGTCCCACATTCACCAAGTTCAGATTCCAGACTGTGAACACACCCTGCTCCAGGATTCAGACCTAAAACCTGCCTTCAGGGCTTTTGATTTCACCCAGTGCATGTCCACGGGCTTCACCGTGACATCTGACTCACAACCTAAGCTTTCCCAAGCCTTGGGGATGCACCCACTGTTTCAGTGTGGCTCATCACATAACAGAGCAGCTCAGTTTAACTCCAGATCCAAATTTCACCAAACTCCAAGACAGTCTAAATCTGTTCTCTGTCGCTCAGGATGATCTTTAGCAGGAACCACACTTACCCCTGGCATGTATTCAACAAAGATAGACAGTTTCTTCTCCTCAGGATCCCGCAAGCACCCGTAGTACTGCACTATCCTGTCATGACGGAGAGTCTTCAACAGCTGGATCTCACATTCTAAAGCATTCACCTCCTGCAACAAAACAGACATGCTTCGTGACAAAACGGAACAGTTACTTTGGGAATATTATCCAAACATCGCTCAAGGCTGAGCAGTCTTTTCACAGCACCTCTGAAGCTGCCTGTGAGGACATCAGCCACATAAGGCTCAGAAATGAGGGGCACTGCCCTAAGAAATAGGTAAGGAGAAAGACAGATGGGATAGGCAAGGGCTTGGCTTGGAGACAGGGTCACTTATTACTATTACTTGTGCTTGAGGAGTTTTTCTGGAAAGGTGTGAACGAAGACACCAAAGCTAACGCAGCACACCGAGTGGGAAGAAGGTGAAGGAAGCAAGAAGGCCAAAAATTAGGAAGAGCAGATAGACCTGCAAGAGATGATACCTGAGACAGAGCTGGCCAACGTGACCAAGGAACTAGGAGGAACAGAATTCACCAGAGCATGATGACTGGTGCCACAAGACATTCAGGACCACTCCAAAGAGGGGAAAACAGCAACACATGCTGTCTCCACACACCCCCTTCTCTCAGGGACACGAACCCCTCTGCCACCTATACCCTCAGCCTCCAGCCCACAACCACCCAGCGTGCTGCAGAACGCAGTCCTGCCCTCGCACTCACTTTACTTGTCTCTTGACTGTCAGGGTCGAAAGGCACCTGCTTCACCGACAGCTCCCGGCCAGTGTCAGCATCGTAGCAGAGATAAACTTCCCCAAACGCTCCTCTTCCGAGCAGTTTCCCCAGCCTCCAGTTCACAGGTGCCTGCAGGGCTACAGGAGAGAGGAGAGGGTTGAGAGAAGAGCGCAGCAGGGACACATCGGCATCAGGGTCCATCTGACCCTACAGAGTACAGGTCAGGCTCACATTGAGCTCACATCAGGGCAGGCAGTGAGCCACCCTCTCCCGGGGGCACCATGACAAACCAGTTTCAATCGCAGTAGTGCTACTGGTGTGTGTGGATGCATTCGCATAAAGTGGAAACAAGTCCCAGAAAAGTCACATTTCTTTAAGAGTCAGTCCTTCCTCCAAAAACTGCTTTCTTAGCCTATGTTGGACTTTCTCTCCTCTGCTATAGGAGTGGCTACCAGCACACAGCATGGCTGATCAGCAAGCCAGGCAGTGACCAGTAAAGAGTTTTATCTCACTGGTCATCCCTAGGTTGTTATCCATCACTGAACAGGCCCAGAATGCACCGATGTCTACAGCATGGGCAGTCTTGCAATATCACACCATCTTTGTGTGTCGGGGTGATAGCAAGGTAAGCCACAGAACAGAGCCTCTGGATGCATTTGCTCCCACATCCCAAGTCTCCTGGAAGCTTCTCCCACCTGAGCACACCGACAGTCCAACACAGAAGCAATTTTCTGCAACTCAGCAAGCAACAAACATCAGCTGACCCCACACATGCTCTCAGCACAACGTGTATTACATTAAATCTTCCTCACTGAGACATAAAACTAGGGCAGCGTGCCTCATGTTGGGGGTGGGATCAGAGTGCATTCACACATGGTTAGCTTAGCTGACGCCCAGCAACTCAGCAGGTCATGGTAACTCAATTTTGTGCCGAGACCTGGACGTGCTGAGACCTGACACTAGCAGCTGTGATTGACTTACAGTTCCTAGCTTTTGTAGGGGAGGTGCTGAAGACCTGCAGACCTTTTTCACAATTGTTCCACCATTTGGGCCTGTACTCGTCGTACTGCAAGGTGCTGAGCTTGCTGTCCCCATTAAAGCTCTTGGTTCGGCTAGAAGGGACAAGCTGAAACAGGTTCTCCTGTGGGAAGTAACTCCTGGGGAAAGTCCTCCGGCCTGTGGAAGAGGGGGAGAGTTACAGCAAGAATGCACACACCAGCTTGGATCTACCTGTCAGCACCTTCTCATATCACTGCCCAGATCCAGTGAAACACCTCTTCAAATGAAACAAAACAAATTTTCCTGAAACTGAAGCAAAGCCCTGTGAACAATTTTAATTCAATTTAAGAGTTGTTAACAGCAATCATTACATCTAATGCAGATGTTTCCAGAGGGGTTTGCAACAGTTTAATGACATTAGGGTTTTTGTTGGTTGTTAATCACAATTAAACTCTGAACAGGCAGGGATTTACACTGCAAATTATTCCTGCCATCCCCTAAGTGCACAATACAAACGACCACACAAGCAGTGCCAGATCTTGTGATAACTGCTTTCACAAAGGTGGTGTCTGAGAGATGAAGTTCATTCTGGAAGGCTCAATATGCTGTCTGCACATCCCCAGAATCTTTTTTCCAAGGGAATTCGATTCTTATTCAGTTTTGCCTCCCACCACTTGCAATCTCATGCAGCGAAAGGAGGAGCAGCAAGAAGGTGATGGAGTGGTCCCCAAAGCTCAGAGCTCACCAGCTTAGAACAGAGATGTGAACAGATACTGCTGCCCTGAAATTGCTAGGGGATTTCCTGCAGCTCTGTGAGAAACCTGCTCTAAAGGTCACAAACCAACATCCTCAAAAGCAAGTTAGGGGAACAGAAAGGTTGGTATTGCCAGGGACGAGAAATGCCAATCATCCATGTGGCTAAATTAACACAAGTGTCAGCAGAGGAGGAGCTGAGCACCGACTGTCATACACACTGTAGACGCTCAGCACTTCCCAAGAGCAGACCCGCAAGGTCTCACAGAGGGTGCTCTTCAGAGTACACAAGTGAATCCCAAATTACTTGGTGGTTCTCTCTTTGCTAGAAATCTCTCCCTCCCAAGTCCCTCCAGTCCTAGGCATCGTCACAAGCCATCGAGATCCTGGACTGAGCACCTCCCTCCCCGACCCTCCATCATTTTCTTACCGTCACTGTAGTCCTTGCGACTTTGCGAGAGGTGGTACTGCCTTGGGAAGGTCCCACCTTTCCCAACCCTCTCGCAAAACGGGATGTCAAAATCTGACAGGAGGGAAGAAGACACATGTTTGAGATCAGCCCAGAGTGTTTCTCATGAGAAAGCGTTCTGGTCTTCATGCTGAATTACGGGCAAGAAGAGGTGACAAGCTGTTCATTTACGTGACCATCCATTCCCTGAGGCTTACTCTGAAATCTGTCCACAGTCACACGCTCTTTAGTGGAAAATAAGGGTTAGACACAGTGGTCTTGGTCCCCCTAAAGCAAAGAGGTTTAACTGCTGACTTTATGGACCCTGGCCCACACTGTTCAGACACAAGGCAGGGGATTAACATAGACCGTGCCTGGTTTCCAAGACAGAGCACTAGACATGTTATTTGCACCTGGTAAATGCAAAAACTAGCATGGAAACAGAACTGTCAGCCAGGGTCAGGCCCAGATCCATCTACTCCAAAACCCCTGCTCTGATAGCCGCTATTTCCAGGGAAATGCAAGAATCCAGCACTTGGCTAACACTGGACAATCTCTCCCCTCTTTCTTCTCGGCAGCAACTCCTGACCTCTGAAAGCCGGAGACCAATTTATACCCCCAGAGCTCCAAAATTTTACATTTACTTTGATTAAATGCTAGAAAGATGGATTTAGAATATAAAAAAGGGATTAAAGACCATCAAGAGTTTAGATTAGACACAAGATTAGAGAGATGGATGGACATGTGAGATAAGGATGTATTTTTTTTAAACAAAAAAACGCAGCACGGGAAGCCATTGCTGGTAGCACTGAATAACTCGAGATTAAAATATCTGTCACTTCCCCCCCCCCATCTTTCACCTCCTGTTTTTCCTCCATCCAACTCTAATGACACAGTCCTTCTGATTGTTTGTTTGTCTTAGCCTGGGGCCAGCAGCCGCTCCTTGGAGACTGTTCCTGGCCTCTGCTGCACTGCAGCATGATTTCCCCATTACGGCAGCGCGCGAGAGGAGCACATAATGGCTGAAATATGGTCAGCAAGAAAAGCAACAAGGACAGGTCAAGAGGTTCTCGGCAAGCCACGTGTGAGCGACGATGCCGAGTGGTGCCTCAAAGCAAAATGCCTCCCCTACCACCAGGGATGTATTAAAACCTTCAGCGACGTGGACTGACTGCAGCTTCATCTCTACAGTTCAATCTAGAAATCCTGCCTCGGGCCAGAGATGAGTTATCATGCCACAGGCTGACTGCCATTTGCTCATTTTTAATAGCAGAAGTCATTACAAAATTACAGAGTTTCCATGACTTAACCAGCTGGATGTTTACAAGTGATTAAGCAGTAACCTATGATCCTTGCAAATTACCAATACACTTTCCCTAACAGCACTTGCAGTATTAGAGATTATTATTAATGCAAGTGGAAGAGGTATGCCTCCCTAGAGAGTCTGGGACTCAGGTTTTGTTACATAGGAAGTTGGGATCCTGAAAGCACAACTCACAGGTACTAACAAAACGTGATCCCACAAGGCTGTTTCCAGCTTGTCAGCACCACGCAGTGCTCTCCAAATACAAGAGCGAGGCCCCCTTCACCAACTTCTTCCCACACAGAACTCATCTCTGATCTTTCAACAGCTTTACTTGCTTGCACCCATTTACTTCAGGGGTCTTGTCACCCAGTTTGGGCTGTTGTTGATGTAAATTGATTCCCGAAGCAGGCCCAAAGGTTCTTCAGTGCTGCCACTGCTGGCTGCAGAGCCAAGAAGGGTCAATGATGACAAGAGCAGCCCTGCCTGTGTTTGACGCTCTGGGCCTTTTGATTTTAAAGAACTTTCACATTTCGTCATTGCAGGGTCATTTCTAAAGTTTAACCTAAGCAATGGAGCTGGTTTGCTTAATTGTTTTGAATCACTTTTCATGCAGCGCCATCTCTCCAATAGCCTTTATCCAGTCTCTTTAGCACATGCTTTTTCTGCTTTTAAGCAAAACACAAATCTCCCAGAGTGCTTACCCATGCAATCAAGACTGTCTTTGGGATGGCTCTTCCTTCCAGGAACAGGGGTTTGCGTAAAGGGAGGGCTGCAAAGGGATGGGAAAAATAAATAAATAAAAGAGGACAGACTTTATTACATCAGAAAGCCTATGGAATGAATTAGGAAGTGGTCACACACAGAAAGGACAGGCTATACCACCAGATGATATGTACTGATTACCGATCAGCCCAGCCTACCCAACTGAGCTCCCACCCTCAATCTGCACAAGAATGAAAACTGGGTTTTCTGCTGGCTCACAGCCTGTTCCTGCGGCAAATAAAAGGGATGCTGCAAAACCCACAGTCGCCAGGCTGAAACGAAACCGCCAAAGACGCCTTGCTCCTGCGCACAAGACTGCACCGAAGGAGGGCTGTGGACTTCTCTTCCCTTAACGTCAAGTGTTCAACCGTGCAGCTCTGCTTTCTACGAACGCTGCTTAGTTGCTGCAGATGTGCACACTGGAGCCCTTCAGTCACGCTTGATTCATGCGGGTCTCCCCTCCTCTGCAACATCACCCCCCACGTTCCTCACACAGGAGGGTCCATACCACCACTGGGTGCACACACCCCCCCAGGAGACCAGGAGAGAGAGTGCAGGATTGGTGCTTCAAGGTTCGAGGTCTTTAAACTACTTTGAGAGGACGATAAAGCACTGCAAGGGGATCTCAGCAAACCTCATTTCACCCCAGCCTCTGCCAGGACCAACAGGGTGACCTGGACAGGTTGTTTTTCCACTTTCCCTTCTAACAAAACGGGAATAGTAGTAGAAATCTGCTTTGTAAAGTGCTCTGAAATCTGCTCAGGTCAAAGCTGATCATGGCAGGTTTGCTATGGCGAAGAGAAATTTATGATGTTATTTCTTAGCATCAGACTGGTCACCATGCCTGGTGACTAGCTCTGCCCTCTGGAGGCTAATGCCATCTCAAGCAATTGGCTGCAAAGGCTCAGCCAGACCTTTGCAGGAATAGTCATCCTTACTCCTCTTTCTGTCTTTGAAGAATATAGCCCCCCTCATGCCTCTTCCAGATCCTAGACCCCATGACTGAACACAGCTGCCTGCTTCTTTGTATGTGACATCAAGCCGTACTACATGTCCCGCAAACACGCCTAACACCCTTCTCTCAGTTCCCAGTAAAGTGTTACAATCAGTCTGTGCTCCTTCTCCTGTTCTTCCCAGCAAACTCTATGCAAAAGCAAAGCCCCAGCACAGAGGTTGGGAGCCCAAGGAATCCAGCTTCAATACGGCCGTAACAATGAGCAAATACATCACAGGAAATTATTAAAAGCCACAAAAAGGAAATGGACCTGGATGCTGAGACAGATCCAAAGCGCCCAGAGCTGCAAACCCGAAGCACGCTACACAATCAGATCAACACAAGGCAGACCCGCTGGAACACAGCCTCGATGCTGTACGGCAAAAGCAACGGGGGGAAAAGGAAAAAAAAAAAAAAAGAAAATCTTTGATGCAGATGGAAAAAAAAAAAATATATACCGCTTCCCAAAAGGACACCGTGTCTTACACACAGCCTACCATGCGCAGCAGCAAACATACAGTTGCCGTGCACGTGCGAGCTTGGCCCAACCAGGCGCACCAACTATTGAACTGCAAGCCCGTGTTAGTACAACGTGTCCTAGTTGCTTCCTGCCGAGAAGCTAAACTTAGTTGTTGCTCATCTGGTGTCCTCAGCACCTTGACTGACAAGTCTGTGGCCGCTGGCAGCGCACAGGGGCTGCCGAATTTACAAGCGGGCAGTGGAGAGCAGACAGCATGCCTGGGGAGGGGGAGGAGGCATGGAGAGGCTACCAGGGTATTGACCTGGTGACTGCAGAGAGCCAGAGGGGGAAGAGAGGGATCTGACTGAAGCAGAAAACGAGGGCACACAAAGCCAGGCTGTCAGCAGATCCCCAGCTACTTCGTCCAGCTCAGATTACTGCAGTTCAAATCATACCATCACACAGATGTCTGCGCTAGGAGCCGTTGTCTAGCAGCCAGGATACATTTGTTTTTCTCAGGTGCATCCTCAGCCCAACAGGAACCTCAGGGGATGCCACTGACCCTGCTCCTCTCCCGCTACGGAGCCAAGGCTGCATCTCAGCTTGTGAACATGGTGACACGCACAACTCACCTGTCCACAGATCTGTCCAGCGACTGGCAGCTCCCAGACAGCGACTCATCGGGGCTGATGAAAGCTTCAAGCATCTGACAGGGAAAGAAAGGAGAAAACAATAAAACCACGCACTGTAGCTCTCCAAGCTCCAGCGTTACCAGATCTCTGCAGGGTCACCAAGGCTCCACCAAAGCCAGCTGATTTACACTAGCTGACACCAGTCCCAGCAGAGACAGAGATCCAATCTAACAAAAGTTTTCTTCCCAGTGGAAGTCCATTTACGATGCCCCCTCTGCATTACTGTTCTTTCCAACTGCTATTTGCTAGTAGGGAAACCAAGGGAAACAAAATTTGTACCCTGATGGTCAAACCATGCTGAGACATCAATGAGACTCAAAGTATTCAGGAAAAAATAATAATAATTTTAAAAAAAAGAAAAGAAATAATCAGAGCACAAATGATGTGCCCAAGGCCAAGTGGATATTGTGTGCCACAGCCAGGACGGCAGCCCTGGACTTTCCCGAGCTGCCCTCTGGCACACAAGACCAGCCTTCCTCTCTGGTGATAAGCGAAGCATCATCAGGGCTTTTGGCTGGAGGAACTGGCTTGGCTCTCACTAGCTCAGTGAGTCAAAAGCTGCATTTGTGTCGCTTCCTGGATGAAACATTGTACTGGACGGGGTTATTAATAGCTGGTTAGTAACAATAGAGGTTTTGTATCGAGTGGCAAACCTAGGGGCTATGTGCAGTTCCAGCAGAGCAGAGCTTGCTGAGGGCCACGCTGTGCTGCGGTCGGTACGATGCTTCCTCCTGGCTGCAGACCCACAGCAGACACTCGCTATCCCCGACTCCACAGCCAGCCCCAAGCCCAGCTTGTTCCCAGGAAAGCTGAGCAACGAGGGTTAAACACCACGTGGAGCCACCCTTCGCTGGCTCCTGGACCCACATCGCTCCTCCTTCCCCGTGTACCGCAATGGCCTCCCATTCCATGCTCCGTTTCTGCGTTAAAAACCTCCTCAACTGGTTGTCATAACAGCTCACATTGTTTTGGCAGGATGGTCCCAACGGGAAAGTGCAATTTTTCTCCGCTTCCCAGTTTTTACCCCAAAGCCTCATCCTTCAAAATGCACTAGCTAAAGAGGAGCAAGATTTCTGCTAGACCCCACTCTCTACCTCTGCCAGCCATGTCAGGTGTCTGCCAGCAGTTAAAATAATGCTGAAACAGACTCGTTTCTCAAAAGCATAAAACTGGAACTCCAAGCAGGCTCCAGACTCAATCTGCCAAGCTGGTCTCGAGGCAAAGACTGCAGTCACCTCACAAGGGGCACCCCCAAAATGCAGCAAGCACCAGCCTGTAAGTGGTTTTCCACAAGGCACGTGTGGAAGCTGCAGCACAAGCATATTCTGAGGGCAAAGCCCATATGGGGAGAAGCATGGCTGCTCAATGAGAAGAGGGGGAAAAAAAACCCCAAACACCCCATCCCCAAATCCCCTTTTTCCTGCATTTAGTTCACCAGAGAAGGGCAGCAGGCCACCCACAGCGTGATGCTGGGGAAAAGCGAGGAGACCATCTGGGAACCTTCATCAGGAGCAGGCTCAGAGCTCAGTCAGCACAGACAGAGCTCCGTTAACAGCCAGTGGAGCTGCGCTGATTTACACCCAAGGGGGGTTCATGGGGACCCTCCCCCTGCACGCACACGCACTTTGTCTTAATCCTACCAAACGTGTTTGGAAGGCATGTGAAAACAATAGAAAGCCAACTTTTGGCTGCAAGGAGCACAAGATACATCTGTACTCTGACGCTGCCAAGACTCACCCGGAGTGACTTCTTATTTTATTAATGGCTGTATAACCACTGAAAACACAACTTTGCCATGGAAACACTGGCACAGCCTGCACACAAAAGCGGAGCTAGCGGGTGCTATCTGAGTGTAGGAAACGCACATCTCCCCAGGCAAGATCCTCGGGGGCCATCACAGCAGCCTTCTGGAGCGAGCCTAGTGCCTTCTGGGTGTCTCCCCATGTCCCTCCTGCACGGCCAGACCTCCCGCAAATTGTGGATCCTGGCCCTGCCCTTCCAAGAGCTTTGCGAGGATGAGCTGTGTGCCCAGACAGCCCAGCTGACTTCACAGGAACTATGTGAAGCTCTTCAGAGATATAGCTTGAGCAGAGATACAAATGGAGAGGGAAGTACGAGCTGTTCCCCCCGCCGGTCCCTTGACACTGCAGCGTTTCCCCCATCACAGGTACCAAATTGGCTGGAGGAAGAGGTACTGCCCATCACTGTGCTCAAGAACTAGCTGCGCTTTTATTATTGAGGGATCGGAATATACAAACTCTTTATCAAGAGAGGAAAAAAATACATATGTGGGGGAGGGGCAGAGGGACAAAACCAGAGAGGGGCTGCGGGCAGAGCCAAGAACTGTAACCAGAGCTCAGGCAGAATCAGCACACGGGAAGCAGCGAGAGCTGCTGACATCCCCAGGCTGTTGCAATCGCAGGCAATCGGTCGCTTGGCACGCTCCCTCGTGATCCCGGGATCCAGGAAGGCTGCAGCCGCAAGGGCCCGTCAGCTGGTATGCACGTGTGTCCCAGAATCTACGCTCCTCCAGAGCTACCTGAGGTGCCTGAGCACGTTGCCATCACCACTGCAGCTGGCTTTTAGGATTCCTGGAAATCGGGCCAGCTGTTTCTTGAGCATGTTAAGCCCGGGGGCACCCATTCCTGGAAGCAGCGGGCCTGAGCCCCACGCACAGGGCCCGCTGAGGATTTCGTGGTGGGAACAGCACTCACAGCGCAGCCTCTCTCGTGCCTAACGCTGTCCTGGCTTAACCCACGTGCCCTGGCTCCACTTACGTTCTGATCCATGGTCTCAGGGATGAACTCGCCCTCGCTGTTGATGCTGGTATAGGATCCCTGGCGAGCGATCTGCTGCTGCTCTTCAGGAACGCTCCCTGGGGGCGGAGAGCTCCGGCCAGTGTGCAGAGAGCCTAGGACACAGTAAAGGCACGGGTCAAGGAGAAGACTTGCCACATCCAAGTCTTCCCAGTGACTGCAGACCTCCTGGAGATGCTGCTGGGTTTGAACTTGCATGGAAGGGAACGGAGGAGCTAGAGATACAATATGGGCATCCCACAAAGCTTTTGCAACAGGGACAGTTTGCTACTGTGGGGCCACACGAAATCTAGCAGACTTGGTCTGCAATCTGCCCTGGATCCTAAGAGCTGTGCGCTGTATCCAGGTGCTCTGTCAACAGCAGAAAGAAAACGGCTCCAGAGTTTTGTTGTGATACAATCAGTCAATCTCAAAGCAAAACACAAACTCCAAACCCACCTCTCCTCCTTGACCTCCAGGCATTTCCTCCCTGGATCACGCCACTGCCTTGTTCAGCAATCTGGGAAACAGCCCGGGTGAACTTGGTGCAACACCACTTAAACGCTTCTTATATAGAAAACAATTTGCACCCAAATACCCCTCTTCTCTCCCCCTTCCCTAGACAAAAGCAAAGGGGAAGGAAAACCAGCCCTCAAATCCAAGAACCACAGGGAAGGAAACGACCTACGGGATCAGCTTGTCCCATCTCCTGCCAAGGGAGGGTTGTCTCCCCTGTCTGTAGCCCCAAAGGCTCCACGCCTGCCGCTGGCAGAGCCTCCACACCAGGCAGAGCCACCGGGAAAACCCTGGGCTCTGCAGCGCATCGTGTGCACCTCGGCACAGACAGCAAGGCTTTTGCCGGCTCCTCCACAGGGCTCATTGAGCAGAAGCAGGTTTCTGGTTTGCACCTAGGAGAGAACTCCACAGCTGCCTTATGCAGACATCCCACTCCTCCCCCTTATTCCCCCAAATCCACCCTAACCAATTCCTTGTGCCTTTTCAGGTTTCAAGGACCGTTGCCCTCACTTGGCCCAGATGCACAGGCTTGGCTCTGCTTGTCTTTCTGCAGTCCCTCCCCTCCATCCCTGGGCTGTCATCACTTCACGGCAAGGAATTGCTGACAGAGGTCCGTGCTGCTCCATGCTGGAGCTTTAACCGGTCGGTATTGTGCAATGTGAGCCTTCACACAACACGATTTGTTTTCAAGCAGACTTCTAAAAAGCACACATCCTCCAAGAGTCAGAAAGCACACGGAGATGCACTTACTTACGCTTTGTTATCCATTTTTGTGTCACTCTTGCCAACTCTTTGGTTCATTACTGCCATTTGGTAACAACATGCCCAGGCTAAGTACAATATTGCAAGAGAAAGGTACCGGGAAGGGGCCTATCCCGTTGTGAAAAGTCAGCACCAATCAATCAACCCAACACTTCTGCCTCTTCTGCGTCACAGTTACTGTGCCAGATTGATCTCTGGCGTAAATCCATCAGCGTGATCAACACAACAAATTTGAGTCCCCACCTTTCACTTCAGCTGAAATGCATCAGGAGCTTCTAACGTTAACAGTGTCACACCAGCACTAAAGACCACTAAATCAGGCTTGCTGGATTTATACCAAATACGTAGATATCTGTGTCCCATGGTACATCTTCCCCCAGACCCCTTGCTCGGATTGTAAAAATAAAAGTCATATAGCTTTGAGTTACTTTTTTTTTTTCTTCTTCCTATTTTCTTCTTCACAGATTTCCTGCAGGATAAGAACCCAGCAAAAAAAAAAAGTCCAACTGAAGTAACGCCAAGATCAAGGGGAGAGAATCTCTCGAGTGCTGCGGCGCTCATAATGAACTGGCTTTCCACCAGCCCTAAAAACAAAACCAGTTGGGAAGTACGGCATCCTCTCTTTGAGGATAAATAAACAAACGTTTAACCATTTAACAGTCCGGGCACCCTGGATAAATCACTGCATTATCAGCCCCTCATTTGCTTAGCAGATGCCAATCCAGAATGCAGCATAAGGACATTTGGGTGGCTCTTGCTCCAAAAAGCTGCTAGAGGATTTGGTGTGGTGGAGCCACTGTATCTTAGCTCTGTTGAGCATTTCTGTTACTGCTAGGATGAGGTGTGGGTCTGCTCGTGCTGGGATCTCTCACTCATTGCCCAGAAAGTCTTTGACTCTGATTTTACAAAGAACTGTACATGCCCTGTTCGATTTTGAACCCAGGGAGTTAAACGAGATTCATCACAAGTGTAAAGACTTTGCATGATCTCACATTAAGCCTTTGCCTGCAACAACTACTCCCAGGTCAGTTGTGTTTGACCTTCCAGAGTCACATTTCCTGCCAAAAACTGTAAAAGGGGATAAGACACTAGCCATTTCCCAGCAGGCAAGGAACTTAAACAAAATGCTTAGGCTTTTGCACGCCTGGAAACTGCTGGATTGAACCAGATCCCTGTCAGCCAGGCTGTTTGGGTAGAAGAGCTGCTCAAAGTAATTTGTGCAGCTTCGCATCTCCAGGAGCACTGGTTGCTGCTGCTTCGCATCCATGCCTGTCCACCTGCCCAGGAGGTGGTGGGAGCAGAGCCCCAGAGCCCAAGGCTGATTCCGCCCCCCTCCAGCTCTATCCTGCCCTGTTAGCAAAACCTCAGGCAATGTCAGGGCTGCTGGTGGGCGGGTGGGGGAATGGAAAATAGGGGTCAGGGACAGACAGCAACTGTGGTGCTCAATGGCAGGCTTAATTCACAGTGGGGGCTACACAAGGCATATTGGATATATTAGATAATGCTGCTTCACCCACCCAGAGGCAGAGGAAGAAAGACAGACAAGCCCAGATGTGCCTGTTTGACACATCACAGACGATCTTCACACTTGACCTAATACTCAAGAAACAGCAGCAGCACCAGGCAGAAGAGGAGACCCCCAAGGAACTGTCCTCCTGGGGTCTACAGGATTACATGTCAGCTCCAGTCCTCAAGACCCAGCGGGGACAGGGCAGGCTCTGAGGCACTTTATAAGCTGAACGCTGGCCAGATCTCAGCTGCTCTATTCAGGATTCCTGAACTCAGAGAAACTCTGCAGACTGGCACCAGTTGAGCATCTGACCTTGGTTATCCTTTGGAGCAAGGTGCTTTGGGATGGGATTCCTGCTCTATGTTACATGCACTAGTGTAGAGCCATATATTTGAGACTAGAGCACAGCATGTCCTGAGCAGGGTGAACCAGGCCAGCACGGAGACTTACAGTCACTGTTGGCATCTGTTGGGGTCTTTCATGTTCCCTTCTGCTATTTTTATTTAAGAAGTGTCTTTCATGAAGTATGTGCAGAGTTTGTGGTGCTGCACGTACAGCCAGCTCCCCTGTGCCAATCTTGGCTTCCCTCTGCCTCCGTGTTCCCTGGCTTCACCCTTTCCCTGCCCTGACAGGTCCTTCCCAAAACTTCATCCAACACCAATCAGCATCAAGCAGGTGTCCTGATGGAAGAGAGAAGCCCCTTCAAAGTCAGAACTGGGGAGGGTTTGTTGGCAGCTGCCTACGCTCACAGCTGCAGCCGCAGAGAGCCCAGCCCTGGGATGACGCCGCCGCAGAGCCGAACGAGGGACATGACGTCAAGATGTGCCGTTCCTCTGAGGCCTGGCAGAAACACAGGGCTCAGGACACAGCAGCACATGAAAAAGAGTTAAACTTGCAAGAAATTTCTCACTCTGACTGCCGAGGGGAGGTGTGAGCAGATGGACCAAGTCTCCCTTGATTTGTCTTTTTCAGTAGGACCCCTACAAGCTCCCTCCTCTCCATGCTGATCCTCTGAGGACAGACTCCTGCATCTTGATTTAAGGCAAACTCTAGGGTTCTTCTATACTAATAAGCAGGACAGAGCCCATTTTCTAGCCCTAAAGCCCCTTCTCAAAAGAGAGGGGATCTCATCCATCCCACCTCCTGCAACAGGTCCATAGCCCACGCTACCCCAATTTGTACCTGGGCACTGCTGGGATGGCAGTCATTGGTACGGGGTTGGCCAGGGAGATGTGCTAACGATTAAGCAACCTCGACAGCCACCCAGTGCTCATGTCATGGCCCTGTGAATTTAACGGAACAGGCATCACCTCCAGGCCTTTGTTTCTCATTCATGGGGCCAGCCTGTGCACCAGCAAAGCCTTTGTACCATTTTTCTCCCAAGATCTGCGTTCAAACCCTCCCAGCGTGCCAGCAGGGGTTAGATGCTGCTACATGCACGTCCAGGCACCCATGAAAACCTGGGCACCATCACTGCGGTGGCAACTCTCCGAGGCAAAATGTTCCCATGGCTGGTCCATGTTGGACAGCACAGACCCAGCTGGTCTGCAGAGCACCGGCAGGCACACGATGCCACAGCTCAGCAGCCTGGTTGGCCACCGTGGGGAAAAAAAAAAAAGAAAGAAAAAAAGAAAGCTTTTGGCAAATGTTTCCACTGAAATGGTGATTCCAGAATGGGGCTCTTGAATAATATGTGGATAATGGTCCGAAACATGTATTTCCTCAAAGTAAATAAAAACAACCCTCAGTTATCTGAAAATCCAAAACCCAAACAGATTTTTAGGCAAAGTTTCCTGGTACTCAGCTGAACATTTGCAGATGCTGGTCATCAAGAAACTGGGATATTTTACGCTCCCTTCCCCCTGCCAAAAAAAAAAAAAAAAAAAGGGGGGGGGGTGGAATTTCCACTGAAAAAGTTTAGGGGGGGGGAAGAAAAATACTGACTTTGCATAAGGTTTTTTGGGGACACAGAGTGAAGTACATTTTCTGTCCAGCAGAAGCAAAAATAGCCAAATCTTCCCCAGAACATCTACCCCCCTTTCCAATGAGCTTGTGCCAACAACATGCAGCTTTATTATTTTTCGCTGCTGCTAACATGGCAGAGTCAGCAGAAAAACATGAGACATCTCAGAAACACTGAGAACATGACCCAGAACCACCTTTTTTTATAAAGTCACTTTAAATCTCCTTTTAAATCTGGTTTCAAGAGAAAAGCGGGACTGAGTTAAGATCCTCTCTTGACAGCAACCACTTTGATGACAGCAGAAGCAAACACTGTGAAATACCTTGCAACTGCAAGCGTTCTCCTACAGAAATTCCAGCCTCTTAGGCTGCTTTTTGACTGCCCTCAAAGTTCAGCGAAATCCCCAGTTCAGGGAACCACAACACAGGGTCACCTCTATTTGTCTGTTGCTTGACGTTCAGTTTCATGCTCCATTTCAAACACTGTGCTCCCTCTCAGCTCGCTGAACCAGTTTCTGCCCCGCTGACAGATTACCTGCTTCTGACTTCGGAGTTCAAAAAATCTGCTGGATGGCGAACGCCTCCTAAGCAGAGCTGCAGTAGCTTCACACACAGCCCAGGTAACTCCAAAGAGAGGTCTGATGAGCTGTTATTACCCAGAGGGTTTGTTGCAACCTCTTTTCAGACTAAGAGCAAGACCAACAGTCTGCATGGAAATTAAAAAGAGGGATGACTGTAGCATGGGTTGGTTACCTTTGCTACCTAACGACGTAACAGCGCCGAGGACACTGGCTTTGGTGCATTAGCAATTGGCACGCAGACCCTCCTGAAGATCCCACCGTCAGCACACTCTGCATCCTGCACCTGGTGCTGCCCAGTCCTCCTCCTCCATTACCTAGATTAAACGAGCATGTTATGCCCATTCCTCCACTCTGCTATTCGGGCATCCCCTCAAAATCCATCCGGGTACCTCAGGCTCTCACCCTGGGCTGATATCTCTTCCTTTGTCTGCCTTGTCTTATCTACAGGATGCTCTTCAAGTCAGTGACACCTCAGAGTCAGTGGTGTGGATCTGCTTGGGGACTCTACTCTCTTGGTATTACAGCAGCTCCAAAACAGTAAGGAAAGGCCAAAGCATGGCATAACAGTCAGTAGGAAAGTCTAATTTTGCAAGAACTAATCTTCTCGCTAGCACAGCTACACATGGAATCAATTCTGCCCATCACGCTCCGTTCACACATCAGTGACAGCTCCCGGTGCCACAGCTCTTCGCTGGCTTACATTAACAGCCTAACAAGTGCCAAAAAGAGAGCAGCAGAGATGTTTTGCCCAAGCACAGCTTCTGCTAAGGCTTTGTGCCTTACCCTGTATTTGTGTGTGCATTTCATTCAGGGTCATCTAGTGACTCTGCCAGACTCTGGGCAAACTCTCAAGAGCCACGTGAGCTAGAAAAAACCCCACATAATAGAAAAAGACGACCCTAGCACATCCAAATACCAGGCCCAAACAGAGCTCTTGCACATGTGCCACCCATCCCTGGCTTCAACAAGAGCTGGGCATGGCTGCATGAGGAGCTATATTGGACCTATCCTAGAAGAACATTTCCTATATATCATTGTCTGGGATGCAGCAAACGACAGGATATGTTATCAAGGCAGCACAGGCGATGAGACAGAGAAAGAGCAAATCCTTGGAGAAAAATACTCCTTTGTTGCACAGGGAAGAGTTTGGAAGAGTTTACTGCCATATAAGTACAGAGGATCTTTGGAGGATGAAGTGTATCTTCATGTACATTTCTATAGGAGGGCCCCCTTCATTCAAGGCCTCCGATGCTGTCATTTCTACAGCTGATGAATAATTGTACAAAAACAATAGAGATCTGTAGAAATTACCCTGTAACCAGCACCCTCAGTCATGCCAGAGAACACTCACTGTATGACAAAATCATTAATCCTGCCTACAGGTTATAATATGAAAGTTATATCCCTGCTATCCAGTCTTATAGGGTGCTTTCTGGCACCCTGCTTTCTACAAAATCCTACAAGGTTCTTCACACAAAAGGTCCTGCAGAGCGCTTATCAAGAGTACTTGTAATTTCAAAAAGCTCAGAGTATTTTAGAAAACAAGAAAAGCATAAACCCCAGCACAGGAAAACAAAGAAAAGACCACACAAGGCTATGAACAAACTCCAGTCCCTGCAGGGCTGCAAGAAGACGAGGCATTTGCCAGCCTGGCTTCAGAGGTAGGTGTCTGCTTCCCAGCACCTCTGAGGGAGAGGGATACTCCCCTTCATCTGAAACGCAACCACTGCAAAACACTGTGCACATCTGTTCTCCTGAGAAACCACAAAGCAGGTACCACAGACTTAACTTCATCAACAAGAAGAGACTGGTGGCACAGAGACACATATCTGGTCCTCATGCGGTGAAGCTGGTCCCAGCTCAGCAGCTAACCAAGCCCATTCAGCTACATTATTCTGCTAAGTGGGAAAGGGGGACAGATGCCGAGAGAATAACAGCAGATGGTTAAAGGAATAAGTATGTCAAGGTCACAGAAAGCCTTGGCTTTCTATAGATCCTCTCTTCACTTCGATAAAACTCAGTAGCATCAAAATCACTGGAGGTTTTTGTCACTGCATTTCCCCCCTCAAATTACACCTCAGATCCCCCGTTCTTAGCTTTCATGCCCAACATGACTCTCAGCACAACCTTGTCCGACCTGTGCAGCTCTCCAAGTCTCTTCCTCAGACTGAGGATAAGCAGCAACTGCACTGAGTTACTGGTGGGAGACATCAGGGTGGTCATCCAGACTGTGGAAGGTACAGGGTTGTGACAGAGAAGAGAAAGGGGATGGTGGCCAGCTTGTAATAGCACAGAACACCCCACAGAGTGTTGTATTTCACTAACCTGTTGAATACTTCCGCGTCCTCTCGGAGTCTTTGTACAGGGATCCCATGATATCACCCATGGATCTGGAGATCCTCATTTCATGCTGTTTGCTGTTGTTTGGCTGGAGAAGCTGGTAATCAGACAAAAGGAATGATCAGATTCAGCCAGGGTCCTTGTGGACACACCATGTGAAACCCTGTATTTGGCTCCGCGTGGCCATATTACCCAAGAACTAAATTAAAAAAAAAAAAAAAAAGACATATGCACATAATCCAGAGTGATCCAAAAATCATTCACAAACAATTCACATCTGTTATTAAAACAGTCTAATAAGACTAAGATTAAGCTCCAGTTGATAATGGTAAATACAGGTATTTGACATACAAGACTGTTGCTGCATGGCATTATTTCCAGAGAGACGCAGAGACTGATCCTTGGCCTTAAGCTAAGTTTGCAATTCCAAAATCAGAGCCTCTCCTCCATGCTCCCTAGACTTCAGTGGCAGCCTAGGCACTGCAGAGGTTCCTCTGTAACAGAACAGAGGAACCAAGAGTGCGGGATCAGGGTCTGCTGGGGAAGACAGGTAAGGAGGAGAGCAAAGAAATGCATATCCAGCTGGTAACTGAAATGGTAGTGGCCAAGTCTTACTACGATAAGATGCTACACTGCACTGTGATTTTGTGATCATTTTACGTATGACCTTGGAACTGTATGTTCTTAATGCAGGAGCGTGGTTATATGCTTCAGGAAGAGATGGACCTACTCTCAAAGGTATGTGTGAATCTACCTGGCTTTCCTGCTCTGAGAAGCTGACTTGCAATGTTCCCACAGCTGCTAGGGCAGATCGTCCCATTTCTGCCCGGGATTTATGAAACCCCAACTGACGGCTCAGCTTTAACCCAGGGCTCTGGTCCCTGCACTTCCTCAGAGCCTCTCAGGAGCAGAGAAGTTCCTGGAGCTGCGAGCTCCAGTGGTAGCATGAGGACAAGCACCGTGAGTTTCAAGACGCCCAGTCTCTCCAGTACTTCTAGGAAATATAAGGAAGAAACAGAGTTGCAACATCTGCAAATCCCTTGCTTTACAGTCTGTGCTTGGGGCAGCACGACATGTGCTTTGGCAAGACACTCTGTGCAGACGAGGTCAAGCTAACAGGCTTAACTGCAAAACCACTGAGCTCAGGAAAAGCAAATAAATAAATATGGAAAAAACCCAAAACCAGTCCTGCACGACACTGAAGGATTCTCCAGTTTGCTGTTCCTGTCCTTTAGCACTGCAGCACCACACGGAGGGAACGGTCCCCACGCTGCCATCCAGCACGGCAAGGGTGAGGGCATCACCCTATGCATGGAGAAGAGGCTACAGAGGAATGGTGACAGCATCCCGAGGCAGAAAGCACAAGGGGTTCTCTTGGGGTTTAACCTCGTTTGAGGATCAGTACAGCATTGAACCCTTCACAGGTTGCAGGAGGAGCTACAGGGAGCTGCGCTCGGTCTCTGGGCCACCACCATAGGAGGATTTCCAAGCAGCTGAGCCAGAGCAGGGCTGACCCCCCTCATGACCAGCTTGCCCTCTGCTCTTCACCGTCAGGAGACTCGTTTCCACTCCCCAACACAATAACAAGGCATCTCGTTCCAGACACAAAAGAGCAGAGAAGGTGAAGGACTCACATTCGCTTTCTTTGGAGCACTCACAAGGATCCGCAGGCTCTTCAGGGAAGGGCTCAGCTCCAACTGTTCCATCGCTTTGTCCAAATCTTCCTGGGATTTCAGCGGGATCAGGAGCTGGAAAGGATTGAACAAACACCGGAACACGGTAGTGTCACACTTTTGGGTACACAGAGGAGGCCAGATCCTTGCAGCGAGCAGCTTGGGAATCAGGGGATGAGGGAGGAATCCGAGAAGGCGGATGGAAAACAAGAGCCCCCATGCCCCTCAGCTTGACAAGCACTAACATTTTCGTCCAAGTTCTCATCTACCAAGGAACAGACGCAAAAAATCACAACAAAACACATCTGCAAGGAGAGAGCTTAAAGGTGACATCACCAATTTAGCTAGTGGGAAGAGGAGAGGGTTGAGACAAAACCTTAGGCTTGCTGCCTGCTGTTCCGGGGCTGCTCTGATCTTGGGAGTGTGTAGGCAAGACCTGCTGCTACTCAGCCCCAAAACAGCCCCACACATTATTCCTGCATTTCTTTCTGGGAAGACACATCATTGCAATGGTGCTCCAAGAAAGCAGAGAGCTGCACCCAAGGATTTGCTCTGGTAGATCCTCAGCGGTCTTCCCTACTACTGCAACCTGTGTTCCCGCACAGACACGGTCTCCCTAGTGTTTGGGCATCAGGTGAAATCAGGGAACATCTCACAAATAAGGGTCTCTTCCCTTTTGATGTGAAAGGTATGCATTGCTCTCCCTCCAAGCACCATTTCTTTGACTCCTAATAGGACAAATTCAGCTTCTGCTCTTTATAAGTAAACTCTCTACGAGGTAAATAGAACAGAGAGCTAAACAGTGCTGTGTAGATCAGACAGCTAAAGGTCTTGATGTTTTTCTGGTGAGTGCCAGACTATTGCCCTCGTATCTCCAGAGGGAATTTGACCCTGCTGACATTGCTGTGTGGTCTACCACGTCCTGCAGACAGCTTGCAAAGCTTCCAGCACCCAACACAGCTGCACTTCAGAGGGGCTCTGTGGCCTTCTGCTGCCCTGGGCTAAGATTAAAAACACTTTTTGCCCCTCATTCAGGGGTATGCTGCCTAATCCCATAAAAACCAGGCCTCAGCCTCTGTAGGTTGCCTTGGGCATTGGCACCGAATCCAGCCAACATAGCACTTGTTATACTCATTCCTGTGCCAAAGTACACAGCAGTTCCACCTACCAAAGGGACGGAGCAGCCACAGCTCCCAGCAGGCTCTCACTGGTCTTACTGGGAGCCACAGCTGCCCAGAACTCCTAAAAGGCAGCTCAGCCCTCTGAATGATCAGGGTTCATGCCACCAGCCACAGCAAACACACCTCAGAACAACCGCCACAGAAGATGACACTCAAAAGCCGCCTCTGTCTCCCTTTTTGATCCCAGGGCGTTGCCAAGGGTTTGGCTCTCGGCCTGTAGGCAAATACACCTCAGACTGCATGCACTGAGGCTAGGATTTTGGGGATGACCAGGTCAAGGAAAACTGTGGGCCCTGGGATGAGGTTTCACCTCTGGAAGCTGCTATAGTCACCTCCTTCACCCAAGGATCACAGCCTGAGTCCACCAAGCTCCATCTTAGACGTCTGCATGCCTGCCATATCTACAGTGTGAGCACCTCAAGATTTGGATTGAGTTTCTCCTCTCCTGGGTGACACGAAGGTTATCTTTCATCCCCATTTTGCAGACAGAGAACCAAGCCATATGCAGGCCCCCTATTTCATATGATAAACATTAGGCTTAACATCATCATCATGGAATCATTTAGGTTGGAAAAGAACCTTTAAGATCATCAAGTCCAGCCATTAACTTAACACTGACAAGTCCACCACTAAACCATGTCCCTAAGTGCCACATCTACACATCTTTTAAATACCTCCAGAGATGGTGACTCAACCAGTTCCTTAAACCATGTCCCTAAGTGCCACATCTACACTACTACTACATCTTTTAAATACCTCCAGAGATGCTGACTCAACCAGTTCCCTAGACAGCCTGTTCCAATGCTTGACAAGGCTTTTGGTAAAGAAATTTTTCCTAATGTTCAATCTAAACATCCCCTGGCACAACTTGAGGCAGTTTCCTCTCACCCTATCACTTGTTACTTGGGAAAAAGAGATCAACATCCACCTCACTAGAACCTCCTTTTAGGTAGTTGTAGAGAGCGATAAGGTCTCCCCTCAGCCTCCTTTTCTCCAGGCTAAGCAACCCCGGTTCCCTCAGCCGCTCCTCATGAGACTTGTGCTCTAGACCCTCCACCAGCTTCGTTGCTCTTCTTTGGACACGCTCCAGCACCTCAATGTCTTGTAGTGAGGGGCCCAAAACATCCCACCAAGAAAGCCAAGCTCCCGCAGCTCTGGATAGCAGGTAGTCCCAAGCTTATGCCTACCTTAAGCACCCAGCTTTGAGATACTAAAAGACAGGTCTGCAAAGGGTCACTGCAACAGCTGAGTTTAATGCAACTTGCTGTTCTGCCGAGTTTACAGAATTAAATTAGATAGTCCCAAATTAGATACCCAGGACCTCTATAGCTTGCGTGGGAAAGTTAAATATCCAGAAATGGGATTAACAGGTGAGAAGAGGAAGCTGCCAGGTGTAATTGCTGAGGAAAGGCAAGGCCAGGTCTCAAAAGATATTTAAGCAATGAACTCCAGGTTGAGCTAGGAGCGCTCTTCTGGTATAAGGTATGGAAATGTAGTTGAGAAATTTCTACAAAAAAAGACAGAAAAAGAGACCCTTGAGCAAAGCATTTAGCACATTCACCCAGGAAGAGGGATAATCAGGCTGTGCACCCTTTGTCTGAAAACTATTCAGTTATTTGTGTGTAGGAAAAAGATTCCAAGAGGAACTCTTGAGAAAGCCTTGCCCTAGGATATCCTACAGGCTACCAAACCACATGGGGAAAACTTCAGGAAGTTGTCCCTTACCTCCCAAGCCAGGGACCTAACCAGCTGGGGGGTTTACAGAGAATACCAACACCAGTCTTGTCTGGGCTGAGCCTCACCAGCAAGGCTGGAAACAGATTCCCAGTTTGGGACAGGTCTTGGACATGAATGAAAGGAAAAGTACTCACCAAGTAGATATCAACTATTCAGGGCTCCCAGTAGGTCCATGGAGTAAGTGGTTAGACCATGGTTCACGGTTAAACTTTGGGGTCTGAATGAAGCACCCATGTTCACAGCAGATATCGGACAAAGATGGTATTGAATGTGTCTCCCAAATGCTGTGCAGCTGTTCTCAGACAGTCTGCTGCTTTAAGCAGTAGAGCTGAAGAGAGATTCTCTTCGTGTACTGCTTAACCCTTTTGAAGGTCACAAGGGCTCCACAGGTGCATCAAGCAGACAAGCCTTCTCTTCTACACTCACGCAAACAGAAATGAGAACTGTGGAGAGCTGCTCCCCCTCATCTCAGCAACAAGCAGAATTTGACTCTGAACTCTAAGTACAGTCCCACTGCTCACCCATCCCTTTACTGAGCTCCTCACAAGCATTCAGAGCAATCCCTCAGCTGCTGCTTTGAACAGAATGTTCTGCAGGTCCCTCCATCTCACTCCAATATCACAACATTAACACGTTTGCATGCCTGCTTCAGAGGAGCCAAAAACATCAGGCAGAAATTGCCCTCCTGTAGAAGGGACTGGAGCCAGTATTTAGCTTGGCTTTACCTATTACCCACACCTGACAAGTGGATTTTTGCTCCATTTGGCTGTGACACATAGGGATATCAGGAACAGATCTACCAGGCGTGAAACTAAGTGCAGACTCATGCAGAAGCACAGAAGTAATTGCCAGGGTGCATTTCCAGTGACTGGGTTTATTCTGTCGACAGAGTGAGCAGCCATGACGAAGAGCAAAGTTTACCTACACAGAAGTTTGACTAAATAGAGCTTATCAGATTTTCTTCTTCCTTTTAAATTGTATGCTCCCCTGGAACCTAATGTTTTAGTATGGGACTTGGTAGTCAATACACTGCCATCTAAGAAAGTGAGTGCAAAGGGTGAGTTTTCACCAACTACCAGAGTATTGCTAGACCTCCCTCTGTAAGACGCTGCAGAAAGCCAAAGAATAGCAGGAAACAGGGTTGGGGAAAAATCCGAGAGGTCAATTAGTTCATCTTCCTGCCCAGTACAGGACCAACTGGCATCAACAATTCTCGACAAATGTTTGTTAAATAGACTTTTATCTCCTCCCCCTGCTAATGAAGCTTCTACCACTTCCCTAGGCTTTAACTCTCCCTAACCTACCAAAATGATGCGGAGGGACAGCCTCAGAGGAGACAAGCAAAGGGAGGTCAGAAGGAAGCTGGCGGTGCACCAAGGCTCAGTGTTCTGCCCCACATCACATCGCAAGTTGGTCAGGGAGATGTGACAAATGACAAGGTAACACTTAGTCACAGCTGGAGCAGCTGTTTAGCAGTGCACACAGATCAAATTCCGACCGAGCATTTGCCACAGAAGCCAGTCTTTCAACCCATAACACAGCCAACTGTCTAACAAATACCACACCGTGCTGTCCATGGCCAGGCCACGATTTGCTGTCCCACTCATCAGAAAGATGAGCCCAGCCTAGTACTAACATGCTAGACATGCCCCATGGCGTACACCCACAGCCAGGCCCTGCTCTTATCTATACCAGCCCAAGCCTGCTGATTCCATGGTCCCACCAGGATGTGATTCATGTGTGCCCCTGCTCCACCCAGCTGGCATGCTCATCTCAGCTTCAGGATTCCTGCTACACCAGGACAGGGACTGCCACTTACTGAGCTTTTGTAGGGACCTGTTGACCTCAGTGTAATTTTGGTCTACAAGGTGCTACTGCAAAAGAAACATCTGATGGCACCAAAGAATCACTGCACAGTTCCCTTTCAGCATGAAGAAGGGGTGAAATGGTAACGAGTCTGTGGTCAGGCTACCTGAAACTTGCAGCCATGAGACTCAAAAACCTGACCCAGAATGCTCTAGGAGCCAGATGTTGGGATGTCACCATGTGGACACGTAGGCCACCTCCTTGAAGTCCGCTTTCAGTGTTTCCACAATAACAACCCTAAGTTACTACTGCTCAGACCTCTTCCCAAAGGTGCGGGTTCTCACAACGAAGAGTTTTTACATATGGAAAAACAAAACACTGAAAGTCATCCTCAACCTTAAGAAGTTAGAAGTACCCAAAGGCCTCTTCATGGTCCTGCTATGTGCTGTGCACATGCCTAGGAAGACAGTCTCTAACATGGGACAAAATGCATTATTTAAGCTTCTGTTTGCTGTTGTTGGAAAAAATTCCTCTTCCAGTGGAAAGAAACCTGGAATGAAGTGAGTCATTCCTGGAGAATTCAATGGCAGGCTTTTCCCGGGAGGGCTGTCAGAGAATGCCCAAGATTAGAAACCTGACCGCATTCAAAGCCATTCAAAACCCAGCAGACACTTTGGTATCATGAAGTACCTATTATAAAAGAATAGAAACTTTTGTGTGGATTAAATCTCCATTGAAACAGAAGGAACTAAAAAAAGAAATTAAAAAAAAAAAAGAGAGAAAGCTCTCTTCATGACCTCTCTCTCCATTCATACTTTAATGAAAGTCTGTTAGTCATCCGCAATTAATACTTGAACAAGCAAGATGTCAGGACAGATCCAAAAGAATTGGTGTTTAAAAGCCCACCTATTTGTCACCTGGCCCTCTCCTCCTTCCCAAAGACAACCCCACCTTGAGAGTCCTGTGGCTCCAGATGCCTGCCTAGCTCATGGCAAGATGCCAAGGACTGCCCCCTTCTAGGCAAAGGCTCTCATCAGTACCCTCCTTTCAGATAGTGCTGGGCTCAAAGAAGTTGGAAAAAACAGTGGCCTATATTATGAAAAAGGTTGGAGAAGAAAGGTCTTCAAGCCTTAAAATGCAAGGATTGCAGAAGGAGGGTTTCTTGGCTGCTTGTATCCAGTCACAGAACCTGCTAGAGGAACCTTCAGTGATGCACATTTCACTGCAGACCTAACCACAAGACCATGCACATGGTTCTGGGCTTTTGGGGCGAAAAAAATTCAGTGCTAGATAAAAGTACGCTGTGTTAGCAGCACTGTCCCTCATGCTCTGGACTTCACCATGCTCCTGCAACTGCCCCCAAGATAGGAAGTCTTCCCATCCAATTCAAACATGCAGTAGCCTACAGTCACTTCATGTGGCTCTCAGGAAAGTCATTTGGCCACAGTCACTCTCCTCTCTGCCCCCTGTGTGCTCTCACCAGCCAGCCAGACTCTGAAAGTTGGTCCTATTGCCCCAAGGGTGCTAATGGAAAGACATCTACTGCTGCTGACCGTGCAGCTGAACTGACAATGTCTCCACCATCTCCATTACTTAACTCCTCCCCCTGAGTTAGGGGGATTTTTTTTTGTTCCCGTGTCACCATTTAATAGGCCTTAATTGAAATAATTTTGAGAAAGGAAAAGCCTGGCTTGGACTCTGAGAATCCAACTGAGCCGTGTCCGGACAACAGCTCTTGTATGCTCACTAGCTAGGAACCACAAAATAAGATTATTTTCCTTCACATCCTTGTACAGCAATAAATTAGGGCCTTAAGAACAAAACACTCAATTCTGAAGTGGGCACCAGGCACCCTAAAACTTCCCCTAAGCAATAAGGAGAAAAGTACCTCATTGTTCACACAGACTAAGTCCATTGTCTGTCCAAAAGCATCCGTGACTTTCTGCACCACTTCTTTGAATTTGACTGGTCTTGGAAACTGGATAATCCTGTATACAGAGACAAATACAACAGTAGTCTCAGTTTAGTACAAGCATACTAGAATTTGGGATTAGACTGACAATTCAGAAGAAAGGACCTGTATTCTTCTATCAAGCAGCGTAAAGCTTGCTCTTTGCTTTTGCACTCATAGAAATGCTGCTCGTCTGCTATGACCAAGAGGGGACTTGACCTACCCTGCAAGAATATCTACCAAAAACCCTAGTGCAGCTCCTCTGCTCCTCCCATTACTGTGAGGTACAGGTAGAAAAGAAGAAAGCCCAGCAGCCCTTCAGTGGAGAAGACCCATGATGAGGCACTGGTCAGTGATTTATCATCTCCCTATTCAACAAGTGGCTCTGAACAGGGAGGAGGGATGGAAGAGAGAACGATGCAGTTCAGCACCCTGTGACCCTCCTGCACCATCACACACAGGAGCTCTGTAGGCACACATCAGCAGGTACAGTCTAGCCCTACGGTGGCATTACTTAAATTTTCTTTCCCTTTAACATGCAACTTGGACCATCAGCCTGTGAGTTTCCAGGCCTGTGTCCTGCCCTGCCACAGTCACTAAGCACGAAGCAGAGGTGATTCTATGAAAATGTCAAGCAGGGAAGGGTGGGCAAGCTTTAACTCCCAGCTCTATTTTTATGGGACCCATGCCCAAAATCTGGTTATCTTAAGTAAGTGTCATAGGCTGCTAATCAAAGGACACATTTCTGTAGAGTTGCAGCTCAGCTGTGGGTCAGCAGGACTCAAGAATTAAAAAAGAAAAAAAAGGATCCAAGCGTGCACCCTATGTCCTCGGTAAGAGCCATTTAATGACTTGCAGCTTGGAACCACTTTGCCTGCGTGCAAATCCCAGGAGGTACTTGTGGCAAACAGGATGACGAGGCAAGGCTCTTGCATATAAAACTGTAGTTGATTTTAGGGGAATGAATCCTGCTGTGAGCTCATCTGCAGCTGGCTGAAGTCAGTAGGATGATTTTGGGCAAAAACGGCAGTTTGTCCTTATACATGTCGGGGACTGGGTTGGGTACATACCTTTTCTCTCCTTCATATTCAAACTTGATCCTGACATTTCGCTGCTGAAAGAAAAAGCAGAATATGGTTAGGTCCCAAACTGCAGCCCAGATTGACTCGCAGACCCAAAGCTGACAGGAGTTCTCAGGAAGGCTCCCCTAACTCCAGTGGGTATCTGCTCTACTTATGGCCAAGCTGCCTGCTGGTCGCAAACTTTGGGAAACTCCACGTTGCTGATAAACATGCTTGTCAAAAAACAAGGTCTTCTGTAAACAAGAGGACACTCACATCTATAACTGTTAGTTTGAATAAAATGCATTAATAAAAGTGGAAAAATACAAATGCTCTGAACTCAGTTGGGAACAAGGCACTATTATCAGAGGCAAACATGCTAAAGTGTCCAATGTCTGTCCATCTTCAGCGCTTCCCATGGTTTTACCCCAGTATTTTCCTGTTGGAAACCCAAAAAGCAAAGCTCAGAGTATGTTTAATACAACACAGGAATATTTGGGGCACAGAAATAAGTAGTAAAAGCAAACATCCTATAATGGAAGTAGAAAGACAGTCTTGGATTTTAAAAGCCAATAGTGCAGGGGTGGTGGTGACTTATTTTCTCAGGACCTACAGTACGCGAAGTGTATCAGGCATCACTAGACTATACACAGTAAATGCCTGCCCTGAACTGACCTGTTATTCACCTCAGGAGAAATCATTAAATTTGCCCAAAGAAGAGCCAGCGGGGTCACAGGCAGACTGGGCACACAACCGTGCAGGGACTAGTAAAAGCCACTTCTCCCATCCTCTATTTGTGCATATTTAGCAGCGATCAAGACCACAAGGAGCCTTTTCATTCATTCAGCTTCTCAGACCGAGCCTGAACCAAGCATCCCTCCAGCATCCCTTGGCTCATTCCAGGACTTACAGATCATCTCCAAAGCAGATCAAAACCCTCTTTACTTCTCAGACCAAGTTTAGTTAACCAGGGCTCTGCAGCCATTAGTGCACACAAGACTCCTCAAATAGTAGTTTTCTTCCCATGGAGAAAAAAAAAGTGGTTGTCCCCTCCCTCTGTGGTGTAACACCAGGGAGGGCTTGGTCCTGCGCTGCCTGCATCTCACAGGGATAATCCCCAAATGGGTGGGTGACAGCCCTTCCTGAGCAAGCACCTTATCTCTAACCCTGGATTGCCAGCGCGTGAAGGCACACTTTCCATCCTCTCAGAGGGAAAGCAGAAGCACAGTGAAACAGCTTTGTCCCTAATGAGGAAAATGAGCTGGACGGGCATCCTTAGGTTTATTTTTAAACTGACAGCTCCTCAAGTTCTGCAAATACCCACTGAAGTTCAGGAAGTCAAGGCTGGAGGCAATTCCTTGAAAGGCTTAAAAAACCCCAGCAGATTCAGGGTAAATATGTTGGATGATCCAAAACACATTTTTTTTTTACCTCTGCTCGTGGCATTTTCTGTGTTTCCAGAAAGGCTGGCAAGAACCGGTGCTGGGACAGTCACCAAATGGGGCACTCCAGCAGTGTTACAGGCCTGTGCTAAACAGGCACTTACATCACCTTGATGTCTACAGCCAGTTCTCCAGACCCACAGCATTTGGACAAACTCCAGGTTCGCTTCTAGAACCAGGCCCAACTCATAAAGATACCAAAGTAACTACCAAACAGTCCAAAATTCAAAAGGAGAAGAGATGACCATAACCAACCTAGTGCTGAAAGTCCAGATCATTCTAGAGACAGGCAAATACGGGTGGGACTGCCACCTTGGATTATCTCTGTTGGAAAAGGAAAAAAAGATATTGGCTCTTTAATGCCAATTTTTATTTGCATGCCCCTCTGAACAGAGCCTGGCTGGTTCATCTCTCCTGGATGCTGACAGTAAATCAGTTGGTGTGGATTCACTGCATGTAGCTCTACAAAGCCCTTCTCTAAGGAAAAAAAAAAAAAAAGCAAGGAACTTTCGAGGTTTCTCCTTACAAAGGAGCAGGACGTGTGAGGGGAAAAGCTCACGCAGCTCCGGCCTCGCTGCAGGAAACCTTTCAAAACAGAGGTTTCACTTTCAGCGCAGACCCGAACGCTGCACCGAGCTGGGTCGTAGCACACACTGCCTGGTTATGCTGAGCAACACAAATTTCGCAGACAAATAAGTTTTGAAAAACAGCTTGTGGCTGGAAAATGTCAAAACACTTGTATAAAGCTCTAGAGAGAGAAGAAAAGGGAAAAAAAATGAGCCACGACCCTGCTGCATCCTTTTCTTCTACATCAACAACAGGGCTGATGTGCTGTGGCCCGAAGCCAACAGAAGTAAGCCAGCTGCCCCACACTGCTCTGCTCGGCTTCTGAGCGGAGCAAACACACCAGCTGCAACAGAGGAGTGAAAACCCACTTCATTTGTTAATTAGATTTTCTTTTTTTTCTGATATAAAACACACCAACCTCTCACCTCTCTCAAAGAAACTAAGATCTTAAGCTCACGAGCATTTGAAAGAGGGATAAATAGGTATTTATAGTCTGAGAAGTTGGTTACAGTTTTATTTTTCCAGTCTTCCCTTGGCTTGCTCATGTTTTTGATCCACAGCTAAAGCTGAATTCATCACTGCTATCAGCAACAAATACTTTTTTCCTTCAAAAAAAAAAAAAAAAAGTGGGCCGTGCCCAAAGCACTAGGAAGTCCCAGGGGATGCAAAGCACTTCCTAAATGCCGGAGCAGGCTGTGATTTTTTACACCCATGGAAATCTGGTTTGGAGCAACTGGTTTGAGATTACACAGGGAGCCTGGGGCACTGCCAAGTGCTGGAGCAAAAAAAAAAAATCTCACACAAGTCTGCACCCAGCATCTCAAACACAGGATCCAAGGGGAAAGCAGGATCAGCATCTTCTCCGTAAGGACCTCAACACAATGTGCAAATGCCTAAGGGCAGGTCATGGAAGAGGTGTGGGTGGTGGAGGCTGCCGGGTCCTACTCACTTCTGCAATTTTGTGAAGAGAACAGCGACTCCTTGCACAATCCAAGTCATGCTATTTACCCTCCCTCCCATCAGATGTCAAATGAGGTTAATGGCAGCCTTGTTCTCCTCAAAATCAAGAGGTCACTAGTTGGTGTAGGAGAACAAGCTGAAACATCCAAGAAGGACGTCTTAAATACGGTGGAGGAGAGAGGTAAGGCCATGTCGCAAGGCACCAGCCTTCAACACTGAGCTCTGGCAGAGGATTTCATTGGCGGTTTCATGGAGCCCTGTAAAAGCTGAGGCAGGTAACAGAGCAAGCAGGGGAAACTGAGGCACAAGGGCACAAGGTGCTTTGCCTAACGGTGTGAAGCAAAAGCCCAGCCTGGGGAAGAGAAGGCTCCAGGGAAACTTTATTGCAGCCTTTCAATATGTAAAGGGGGCTTTATAAGATGGAGAGAGACTTTTTCCCAGGTCCTGTAGTGACAGGACAAGGGGCAACAGTTTTAAACCACAAGAGGCCAGATTTAGGTTGGATATAAGGAAGAAATTTTTTATGATAAGGTTGGTGATACACTGGCACAGGTTGCCCAGAGAAGCTGTGGCTGCCCCCTCCCTGGCAGTGCTCAAGGCCAGGCTGGATGGGGCTGGGAGCAACCTGGTCTAATGGAAGGTGTCCCTGCCCATGGCAGGGGGTTGGACTAGACAGGTCCAACCTATCTAGTCTTTAAAGGTCGTTCCAAACCAAACCATTCTGTGATTCATTCTGTGAAGCAGAGTGGCAGAGCCAAACACAAAATTTAGATGTTTAACCTCCTAGGTTGTATGTACTGAGCAACCTTGCCTCTCCACGTGCGTTTCCATGTGACATGGGGCACGGAGGAGCCCGCATCTTGGCTGGCGCCTCTAGGCCCTGCTGCGACACAAACAAAACAAGCGACAACTCTGACAGGAAATACCACAGTAATTCCCTTCGTTTCTGGAATAATTTCTTCTCCAAGATACTTGTACCGGCATTTCCTCCAGCCCTGCTAACAAATGGTATTTTACTCTTTCTTGCCATCCGCCTCGCAAAAGGAAAAAGCAAAGCCACCGCAGCAGCCACAAACCCATCACCATCTTTCCAGGCTTTTCTCGAGGTATTTTTAGCTCCTTCCTCAAAACTTCTAATTTCACAAACAGATCACAACGGCTGAGCTTCAGAGGAAGCGCTGACGGGAGTCGGCAGGGGGAAGGGGGCAACCGCTTCTGCCCACATGGTTGGGGACCATGCACCCCGGTGGACTCGGCCAAGCTCGGCCCCCTGAGCTGGAGCAAGCAGCCCTGAGCACTGGTTTAGATTAAGGAAAACGTTGGAAAAAAATGGAAAGTGTTTCCAAACGAGGTGAATCATGATGTTATACAGAGATCCCTGAAGAGCTGACTGCTGTTTGTAATAAAAGCACACATTGAGAGCAGGAAAACATGCTGTTAGGCCTAAAATGGAAGCAGCTTCGGAGGAACAGAAGGTGTTGAGCACCCTCACTGACGAACACCCAAGAGGGTCAATCAAATCAGGGTACGAGTCCAAGCTGAGCAATGCCATGTCCTTTGAGAAGGGTGTCCGATGGCACAGGGACACCCTCACTGCATCGCCTCAGTGCCACTAACTGCAGGCAGGGACCCGACAGCTCAGCACCTCCACATCTGCCCGTGCAGTAGCGTGGCACCGAGAGCTGAAGCACCTAAAGCTGCCACACCGTAAAATCCGATGAGCGCCAAGCTCAAAGACTGCCCCCATCACGTCCTCTCTTCCTCCCAAATTTAGCCGCCGTCAGAAACAGCGTTCTGGGCAGACTCCACCTCTGTGGTTTGCTTTTAAAGCTGCCCTTGTCAAACCTACCCAGAAGGCAGCTTTGCCCATGCTGAGGCACCACAGGGACAGGGCCTTTGGATCACTCCTTCCACCCAAATCCATGGTTGCCTCACAAGCCACCTGCGTGTGACAAAGCCTCTGACTCCAGCGTTAACCCTTCTGAAGTCAAGAAAGGCAGGAAAAATCATCACAAGAGGCCTCCCCTTCCCTTCAGTGCTGCACCAAGAGGGGCTCATTCCAGCTTTGCTGTTATACGCCCATGAGACCTTGGGCATTTACTTTGCCTGGGTAAAATAGTGGCAGTGAGGGAGACCCATTTCTGCACGCTGGAGGGTAAGCAGAGGGATTATATTCACTTCTCATTTTCTACTTGTTGGATTAGGAAGCAACGAGAAAACCCCGCTAAGCAGTGCGGCGTTCAAGCCTTAGTGCTCTAGTTACTCCCTTGTACAAAGCCACAAAGCGGTGGGATTTCTCCTCAACTTCTGGCTTCGGCCAAGAGAAATCAGCACCGCCGGGCCAGGCTGAGGGGACTTCTGCACCTCCCCGACGTGCACATTGTTTGCATTAGTCCTGCGCTCGCCCCTGCTTTTAGCAACAGGACGTTCGTTACAAGCCAGACAGCTGGACCGCGTCCCTAAACCGCAATAGGAGATGACTAATCCGCGTCATTAGGAATTATCTGCACAGAACCCCCACGCGCTTTGGGTTATTCAGCAATCAGACAGAAAGGGGTCTGTCTGGGATTGCCCCCTTCTCCTCTCAGGGAGGGGAAGCTACAAGATATCCTGGTCCCCCTGGATCCTTGCAGCTCTTTTCCTCTGAAAAGGCAAGCCCAGCATGAGAGCCGCTCAGAGGCCAGTGGAAAGATGATGTGTAGAGGGTTCACTGCTCCCTGTTATAGATATTTTTGGTTTACACAGCAGCAGAAAAATCACAGGCTTTGAAATGTTTATCCAAAACCACCTACCTGGCAGTGAATTGCTTTTTTCCATCCTCATTTCTCCTTAGTACTACCCTCTTAGCACCCAAGTTAGCTCCACAAAGAGACAAGGGAAAGTCTCTTCCCCAGATCCCTGGGACTCCACTGACTTTGCTATCTCCAGCCAAAACTTTCCCAGCTGGTGCTGCTCTCCTCTTGGTCCTTTGCCTCTGCCCCTAAGGTGGGGCAATCCCTGCAGATCTTCTCATAGACTCCCACCTTCAAAGTGATATTTATGGATCACCATGATATTCTCCAATGGTAAAACAGAGGTGCCAAAGCCAAACTCCTTTTAGGCTGCTTAAAGACCTACAGAGAGCCCTAGAACATGAGCTGTATTTTATTCTAGTTATAAGGAAGGCTTGTCCTGCATCCAACTTGCCAAAGAAAAGAGAGTCCAGAGGCAATTTACTAAAAGAACAACTTTTAGGTCAGTCTGACATTTGTTGTGCATGGGAAAACGTTCCTCACAAATATTGGACTTTATTGCTGTGGGAGAACTTGCAATCAAAACTAATGTGGCAGAGGAATTGCTAGCTGTCATCAGCTGTGAGAGAGGCCCACACCAATGCCTTGTCATTAGACCAAAGCACAGCACTGACAACCAACTTCATACTGCGAGTTGCCGAGCGCTACTTATGTAAATAAATGGATGTGCACATAAACAGACAGATGCAAAAGAAATGTTAATATAATTGCTCCTTTCTCCTCCACACTTTTGTTTGGGATTCCTAATTCTTTGTGGCTTCCCTTCTTATCCCACTCAATCTTCCTTAGCGATCACAATGCAGATCTTTACTCTGCTGTTTCCTCCTTCCCCTCTTCAGAGCCACTGCTATAAACAAACTCCTTTGTTCAGTCCAACAGACTGCCTGAAAGGACTCCTTCCAGTCACGCCAGAGGATGCACGAGGAATACTGGAGTATAAAGGGAATAAATAGTGCAGAGGATGCACTAGAAATAAAGTCAGGATGATCCCTCTGTTCCCAAAGAGCATCTCCCTCTTAAAGACTGTGACTCACATGCAGAAGGAAAAGGGTGTCCATCTCTATCCCCCTACCTTATTTTCCCACAAGGCAGAAAGGCTGTGCAACGTAGTGGCTGACACACACCTGACCAGGACTCTGGAGATTCAAGCTCAGCCATCACATCTGCTGCCAGCTGCCTGGACAATCTAAAGGAGGAAACTCACCTGCACCATGCATCAAATATTGCTGTTCTCATTTTCAGCTTGCTCTGCCATGAGGCATTAGACATCCAGAAACTGAGCCTCAGTCCTAAAGCCACACGATTTGCCAAAGGTTGTTCATTTCATAATATCATCTGAAGCAAAACTGTCAATATTTTTGGGAAGAAATACTGCATAGCCAGCACAAAACACTTTCTTGTGTGGCCCAGGCCTACCAGGAATTCTATCTGGCAGGCTCCAAATTTCAACTTCTGTCAAGAGAGCACTAAGGAATCCCTCCAGGAGACAGAGCTGAGATAGCTCTTTGGTTGTGTTCCTCTGTGGACCAAAACACTACTGCAAGCCACAAAGGGACAGGCTAGTTAGTCAACACATTCTTGTTTAAAGTGTTTTTTCAGTGGAAATTTGGAACACTGACTAAAGGATTCCCATGCCTCAGAAAAGCATTTTTTCACTGAAAAAAAAAATTCTATTTTTCTTAATCTAACAACTGAACATCCAGACCCAAGTGTTTCACTGCGAGTATGTTGCTGCAGAGCCTCGGAAGAGACAACTACAATGAGATTCCCAAGAGGAAAACTTAACATCTAAATGCCCCGTGCCTTACTCTCCCTCTCCCAGAAAGCAGACTGTGCAGTGCCTCCTTCAGCCCAGCCAGCCAACCTGACCACAGAAGACAAAAAAAAAAAAAGGAAGAAAAAAAGAAAAAAAAAGAGGGAACACCAAGTACCAAAGGAACAACAAATCACAGACATGACAACAGCATTTCCAAAGCAATCTCTTCACCTCCCCCATCAATTTCTGTGCTAAAAAAAATCAATGAAAAAAACCTAAAAGTGACCCAAACAAGTTGATTAAAAGTTCTGAGCTGCAAAAAATGAACCAAGTCCCCACTAATTCCACCTACTTTGGCCACTCCCCACCTCACAGACTAGACTCTCGCTGTCCCACGAGCCAGACTTGTTCCAGCTAGTCCAATTTAGTGAAGCAACAATTCAACATACTCCAACGCCCTTCATCTCGTGGGGCCTGTTGGTCTGAATCCTCAACGCCGGATGTGTGAGGAGAGCGGGATGCTGACTGCTGGCATCTCCTCCATCAGAGAACTCTGAGTAACAATGACCACACAGCTACGGCTGGTCCACTTATGGATTAAAAAGAAAAAAAAGTCATAAAGGAGGCAATGTTTTTCCAAGCATCAGTGTTGTAACTGGGAAGAAAAGTTTGATTCCTAATATAAAATTAAATGCAAGTGGCAGGCAACAATTCTAAAGCTGGTATCAGAGCACAACATTAACTCGATTGGTGATTTGTAACTGAAATTACACAGTGGATGGGCTGTGGATACAAATTTGACTGCAAGATGCCAACTTTATGAAACCTTTCTCAATAAGAATTCAGCCAATGAAAACTATTATTTTCCCTTATTTTCAACTAATTATCTGGTTAACTGTATCTGCAGCATTTACAGCAACAGTTTTCAAAAAGGACAGCAGGGGATTTTTCCCCACTATGAGAAAACAACTGCTATTGAAGAGAAGTCTAAAAACCTTTGCTATCCTGAAAGGAACCTGAGATGGCTTGGTACGGTCCCCACCCACCAACTTGCAGAAAATGCTGCCCTCGGAGCTATCCAAAGCCACGCCGGATTGCCTGCTTCGCCTGCAGCTGCAGAGCGCCAGCTCTGAATTTCTCCAGTCAGTTTTGTAAACATCTTGGACTTATTTCAGCATAAGCTGAACACAAATCCAGTGATTCAACTTGGACAGCTGCTACCGCCAGGACACACTTTAAAACAGACTCGCTATGTGCGCACGTGTTTTTGTCTGCATGTGTCTAGGAAGTCTAGAGGGATTCGGGAAAGGATTTTTTCTGCATCCAGAGATCTTCGTTAGTAGCACAAGTGCCATTAAAATATGCATGACGACAGTAAATGACAACTTGTTTTCTCCCTTGCTAGGCATTCAGCAGTTGCAAAGTTAATCGCAAGCTTATTCTAAGCCACAGCACTAGAAGTGGAATTCAAAGTGGATTTGCTTGCATGCTTCTCCAGCAGCTTCCCGGTCCTCCTAATTATTTTCTGCTCCTTTTCTTCTTGCTATTTTGACAACTGAACGCTTTCTTCACAACTTTTCTGTTTGCATGATATTTGTTCCATACGCAAACAGGCTATTATTCCACTTTTGCTATTATATTAATGTCAGCGAATAATTTCTGACATTGCTCAAGGGACAACATTTTTGCTCACCAAATGAGCTCTGAAAGCACAACAGGGCCAAAATGTTTGGTTTTGGGAGCATAAAGATAAACACCAGTAATTAATATCTAAACACTTTATATAAGAATGACATTATTCCTCCCAAAAGAGCCTGGGTGTCTACAGCTCAAAGTTGGCAGTCTGTCTTTCAAATATCTGAAGCAAAATCCACACATGACAAATACTGTATTTCATCAACGCTGTCAATAGAAAACATTTGACAAATCCAAATCTTAAAGCTGTATAGCCTGTATACTTCCAGTGTTAAGCAAGAGAAAGAAGTGTCTTGGGGTGGGATTTGAGATTTAAAGCCAGTCTCAGGCTCTGTTGCTGTATTTGTGAAAGATTTGGGGTAACGCTGCTCTCCTCTGCTCCTCCATTGCTCCTGTGACATGGGGATGCCTGTAGCTTCTTTTCAGCTCTTCAAAAAGAGGTCCTAAAGCTTATGCCTGGTAAAATTATGTTATTTCCAATGTGCTGAGCTCCTGCAGTACTTGTTAAATGCAGTTCTCGCATCTAAACTGTTCTCCCACCACGCCCACCTCTTTGGTCTACTGGAGTTTGGGGCGGACTCGAGCAATGCCTTACCTGTTTGCTGGAGTGGACACTGTTTTTATTCCTGTTGTTGTCCAGCAGCCCCCCACATTTGCCCAACGCTGCCAAATCCTTCATAATAGAGTTCAGAGCTTCTTCTTCGTCTGCAAAAGAAGGAGAGACAACTGAAGCATGGAAGGCAACCTCACCCCTGGAAGTGCAGTGTAAAAACACAGCATTGCAAATACAATCTTTCAACCCAAATGAGTCAAAAGACACAATGCTTAGCCTTCCTGTTAAGTGAGGCATTCAAAGACCACGCCGCAGTCCCTCCCAGCCCACTGTGTCTTGGAAATAAAGGTTTCTTCATCAGAGATGAGACAGATCCTCAGAAAAGCCAGTGGCTGAGTGTGGGTGACCACTGCTCCTCCAGCTCACAGCCCATGTCTGCTGCCCGTGGGGGCCCTTTGGAGAGGGACCCATCAGCCAGATGCACTGTCCAGGGGACTGGATCCAGTTTGTGAGGTATAAGGTGGTGCCCTACAGGACAGAAACCTTTCAGGACCCTGTCGCACGCTCTGTGTTCGTGATCCAGTCAAGACAGGCGGGTATTAGACACATGCAGCTACTACTGTAAAAATACAAGTATCTGCAGCATTTACAGCAACAGTTTTCAAAAATGACAGCAGCTACCACCCTCTGTGTAAAACTGAGCATCTCCAGGGACAGAGCCACCCCTACACGGAGCCAGCCTGCAGATTTAACTCAAAGTCAGCAAAGATGTGAAAGATAACAAAAAATGTATGGAATCAGACAGGACTGAACCCAAATAGCAAGGTTCTTTCCCCAGGTATGTGTGCTGGATCCTCATGCTCAGATACAACATCATCTCCTCTTTTCCCACTCCTCCTGTTGGGTTGTAACAGGACTGGAGTTATGAAAGCCAAAAAAAAAAAAAAGAAAGGAGAAAGAATTCTCATGCATGCTGTGCACCCAGAGCCATCTTGTAAAAGAAATAAGGTGAAAAATAGGGCAAAATGTTTACAATCCAGTGTCGCTTTTATTTCAGAGCTCAGAAATGAGCTTTAATGCCTATACCAAGCATTAGGAAAATGCCTACATTCTCCTGTAGGCAATGTGTGGATATATATTTAAAATAAAATATAAACATATATATATCTCTCAATATTAAATATTTAATTAATAATTTTTTAAAAAGTCATATCAAAGTACATTAAAGTGTAATTGCTCTTCCCCTCCACATTTCCCTACCCACTAAAAACATACACTTGTTTTTCCAGAGGGGTGGCAGGGAGCATAACACAAAATGCTACAAGGAAACAGTCAAGAAAAAGATAACTCACAGTCCTACTTCAGGAAGAAAAACAAACAAACCAACCAAAACTAAAACCACCCCCAAAAAACACACATGTTCCCATAGTTTGGGGTTTGGGTTTTTTTTTTTGTTAAGAGGGACCTCTGGGGACAAGTATAGTTTTCCAGATAGGTTTTGTAGTAGGAAAAAGAACACAAAAAAGAAGGAAAAAAACGCGCTTTTTTGTGGAGGGGGAAGGGAAAGGAGGGGAGGGACAAGTTAAAAAAACCCCACAAAACCAAAAACCACACACAACACCCTCCAGGAATTTTCCACCAAAGGTATAATCTCTGCAGTGCCCCTCACCCCTTTCTTTTTTCCAACCTGAGTGACAACAAAAGTTTCCTGAACTCTCTGACACAAAACGCAGGCCGTAATGTCACAGGGGAACAGGGCTTCCACAGGCAGTGGCAGAGCCGGGCTTTCGTCAGCAAAACCACCGAGTTCACCGTGGCTCTCCTAGCGCCCAACCTCCTTGTCCATGCCTGGCAGCATCTTCGAGGAGATGCACCTCTGGTTAACCTGCAGGGATATTCCAGAACTTAGAAGATTTCACTGCCTCTTCCGAGGAGGGACAACAGGGTTTGCTGGAGGTCACTAGTAATAATAATAAAAAGTAGTAATAACCAAACAAACAGGGACAGAGTAACTTCAAAGTTTTCTGGAGGGACTGTAAGCTGCTCCCTCTGTTCCTCCCAAGAGAAAGACCTGGCAGCCCCCGAGAGCTGGCCCAAGCCCCGCACAGACCACATCCCATGGGTAGGCGTGAGGATTAACGAAGCAGCAAGAGCAATAGCATGAACCACGCTCTTGCTAGGATGTCTGACGAGCACATGGCACCACTGAAGAGATCAAAACAGAGAGATCTTTGAGCTGAAGCGGATCCTATCATTATTACCACTACAGATGAGTATTCAGGGTCACTGTGACAGTGTTATTCCTATGGCGTAGGTTACTTTGTCACTCACATGGACAGCAGTCACAGTCATCCTACTAGAAGGAAGCTGGAAGTGAGTAACCCTGCAAAAGGCAGACTGAGGTTGGAAATCACCTCTGCAGGGTGTAGAGAATACCTGGATGTCCTTGCTGCCTACCCTAGCACATGGGGCTTATGCTGGCCACCAAGTCAGGGTATTCAAATGAACTTAAGACAATTTGTTCACTGATTGACAAAGCCAGGAAGGCCAATTTCCCATGGATTTCTGTCTTCTCCTGAAAAACCAAGCGGTTTCCAATGTCCAGGACAAGCTGGGGTTATATTACATTGCCCTCAAAGCAGTAACTGAGACTTCCTCCTCTACTTACCCATCAATTTTGTCAAAACTTTTTGCAACACAGTCTTCTGAGTCCATCAAACATAGGTTTAAAAATATCTCGTGCCGCAACCTCACCTGCATAATTACGAAAGCCTCATTTCCTTAGAAAGCCAGGCTACACATCTCTGCCAGAAGCGTCTTTTTGCTTCTCTCCCAACACAGCAAAGCAAAAAGCATCCATTCACGTTCAGTAAGTGCTTAAATTTCAGATGTTTTCAGAAATATCCAACCATCAACTCAATCACCCTAGAATCAGTGGTGTAAAACTGGGCTCTAGCTGTCCTGAATTAGGTACTAGAATAAAAAAAAAATAAAATAAAAAAAGGACAGAAGATATTTCTTGTATTTAGGCTGTCAACTCATCATCTTTGTTCCACCATCTCCTAAAAAGCTGATGCCAAAGAGCATTCTGAAGAGCATTTGAGAAATTATTACAAAATGAGTGTTACTTGTCAAAAAAACCCAAAATGCACACCCATGCCAGCACTCCTACATAACAAGAAAACTTCTTCTTATACGAGCAGGAAAGGTTGTTTTCTGCTGCTGGAGCATGACAGAACATGACTTAAGCACAAGCAGAAATACATTATTTCCGTGAAGTAATGTACTTCTGTGTGCTTAAGGAGCTTTTAAACTACTTTTAACAGTGTGTTTCTAGTCCAAGCGAACTGCAGTTTCAGAGGGACTATGACCAAAGCCTCAACTGTTCAAAACAAAGGGAAAAAAACCCCCACACCATGCTCTGAAGCAACTTCAGAGCAGGAGCACAATTTGCATCATCGGTTGCAAAACTGACACTTCCCAGTCCTCTCCATGACAGCTTTGCACAGGGACTGATGCTTTCCAGACTAAGCCTCTTGCCCATCCTAATTACTGCTCTTGGGGTCTCCAAGCTGACTCCCAAGAAGGGTGGAGAACTGTTCCATGGAAACAAGCAGCCAGCTCAGCCAGTTCAGTCAAAATTCAAACAAGCACTGAAGCTTACTGGGTAATTAAATCCAAATGCCACTCACAAGCCTCTCCAGCGAAAGGGGCGTCACAGGCTGCTCGCTCTGTTTGGCTTGGTTTGAGTGAGCAGAGGGTGCAGGACGGATGGCTCTCCCCAGGAGAAAACGCTGGGGAATCAACAGGAATCCCACGCCCAAGGGACATTGCAAGGTCGGGTTCTCCTGATCTAACACTGGCAGCACACAAGCACGCTTCAGCCTTGTGAGGAGGCAGCTTTGAGACTACACAGCAAACATCTTCCCAGGCTTTGCCACAGCTCCAGAACAAACCAGCTGCAAGTTGCACAACACCAGTGAAGTACCCACAGAGCTCAGATGGACTCATGGATACCACTGCCTTTGCACAACGTGACAGGTTCTTGTTCCTGAACAACCTTCTAGCCCAGCTTCACCCTCGCACCATGTTGTACCAACTCACTTAAGGTACTGTAGATTGACAGGATGAATTGTGCAACGAAGCCTGCTCTCTCCCCAGCACAACAGGTAAACAGGAATATCTCTATGATGGAAGACCAGGACAAAGAAAAGCTGATTACACAGACAGCAAAAGTGAAATGTAAAACTAGATTGTGTTTAGCACTGTCCCTTTGTCCCTGGTGTCTCTTCTTCCATCCTCAGCTCTTTCTTTATTTTCAGCTATTTCCCTTAGTAGGAAACTCATTTCTTTCTCCCCTACTTCCCACCCACACCATAATTTTGTGCTTTTTAAAATCAGCTTCCAGTGACAACACTCATTTGATCACGCTGCCAGCCCATCCAACCAAGGACAACTTCCAACCAAATATAATAGAGGTCTCAAAGATATTCATTTCCCAAAGGTTTGCAAGCAGGGGGAAATATCCATAGCCACATAGACAAAAGGAACACACAGAAGCAGCCAAGAGGCACTCCCAGGAAGCAATGACCAGAGGCGCTACAGTGGACATGGGAAGGTTGGTTTT